GAGTTTGTTGAGTTGTGTGAGGGTGATGAAGAGAGGTGAACTGCAGAGTGATGGTGAATGTTTGTGTTTGATGTGATGCTGAGTGAGATGGTGGAGTGTGTTGAGTTGTGTGAGGATGATGAAGAGCGGTGAACTGCAGAGTGATGGTGAATGTTTGTGTTTGATGTGATGTTGAGTAAGATGGTGGAGTGTGTTGAGTTGTGTGAGGGTGATGAAGAGAGGTGAACTGCAGAGTGCTGGTGAATGTTCGTGTTTGATGTGATGTTGAGTGAGATGGTGGAGTATGTTGAGTTGTGTGAGGGTGATGAAGAGAGGTGAACTGCAGAGTGATGGTGAATGTTTGTGTTTGATGTGATGTTGAGTGAGATGGTGGAGTTTGTTGAGTTGTGTGAGGGTGATGAAGAGAGGTGAACTGCAGTTTCCTGAGTAATGGTTGTGTTTGATGTGATGTTGAGTGAGATGGTGGAGTTTGTTGAGCTGTGGGAGGGTGATGAAGAGAGGTGAACTGCGGTGTCTTGGTGAATGCTCGTGTTTGATGTGATGTTGAGTGAGATGGTGGAGTGTTGTGCGTTGTGTGAGGGTGATGAAGAGAGGTGAACTGTAGTTTCCTGAGGAATGTTCGTGTTTGATGTGATGTTGAGTGAGACGGTGGAGTGTGTTGAGTTATATGAGGGTGATGAAGGGAGGTGAACTGCAGAGTGGTGGTGAATGTTCGTGTTTGATGTGATGTTGAGTGAGATGGCGGAGTGTAAACTATTATAGATATTTAGGCGTAATTCATGAGAGATATGGTCACTGCTTTTGTGAGGATAACCTACGAAGTAACTTTTAATTGCCTTAATATGAGGGTTTTTATGGAATAAATGAGGCTGACAGGATTGAACTACACGGGGAGTTGTTGTTTTTCGTTGATGTCGTAAATGGTAAAATGTTGTTCGAATGATTATAATTATACTATTCATAATGATATTTGCTTGTTGGACGGAAATAGTGTTTTTGGGTGGTAAGCTGTTTGCGGCGCATACAGTGGATATCGGGGGTATGGTGGCATTTCAGCGAAAGACGTTTCAGCGAAAGTGGTTTTCCGCGAAAAAAAAACAGAGAAAGCCACATAAGCGAAATTAACTATTTGCGAAAATATGCGATTGCGAAAAGTACGAATGCGAAAAGTCAATTTTCAATTAGTAACTGCAAGAAATTTTATTGATAAGAAACAGTTGTGTTCATATTTGACGATGAATAACCAGGATAGACATGTTTCTATGGGCAAAAATTCTTGCGCATTCTCTTGGTAGTAGTCAAGAATGTCTATTTGAAAATGTCCTCAGTCTTGTCCGTATACCGTTGTCCTTGTGTATATAAGTACATATTTATGGAGGAAAACAAAGGATGTTTGGATCGAGGACATTTCATAACGAACGTTTTCGACTGTTTTTATTCCAGTCCTTTAGACATAGTTGTCTATTATATTCTTCTTTTGATGCTATATAAACGCTCGTAGGTGCTGTGAATAGTTATAACCATTTATATTTCTCATTCATTTGATCGATTTTATCAACCAAAGATGACTGCCTCCACAGCAATCTCTTTCACTACTTCTAATCGTGGTAAACGCATGCTGATACATTCAGAATACATTTATCGATTGAAAAAAACAACAACGAAAGTTTATTATTGGGTTTGTCAATCAAGTACTTGCACAGCAAAGATTCATACCGATACCAATGATCAATTTATTATAGCCAAAGGAAAACATCGACATTTACCTGCACCTGAATTAATTGAACTTCGTAATCTGAGAAAGAAAGTGAAGCAAAGAGTAATCAGTGAAACGACTTCTGTTCCCAAGATATACGAAGAAGAATTAGCTCGTTCAGATCTTTCTCCAACTGCTCTTATTCTTGCACCACTTCCTGCTGAAGCAAGTAAGTTATTTACATGTTTTAGTTTTTCAAATGTTATTATTATCTTTTCTTGTAGAGTCTGTGTTGAATCGTACTCGTCGAGGTGCAACTCCGCCAATACCTGCAACAAGTGATTTTGATATTCCTGATGTTTATCGACAAACGCTCAATGGTAAACCGTTCATCTGCACCGATAGATTTATCAGAAGCAAGAGAATGATTTTATTTGGAACCGATGAACAGCTTGAAACACTGTTCTCTTCTGAATGGATTTTTCTCGATGGAACGTTTGATTCGTGTCCATCACAATTCAAACAACTATACACCATTCATTGTTTAAAATTTGAACAAAGTGAGTTCAACGATAATTGAAAGTTCTCATTTTATGTTTTCTTTTTAGGTCTTCCGTGCGTGATAAGTCTATTGTCGGGGAAGTCTACTGATGTATATGTACAATTATTTTCTGAACTTGAATGTCATGCTGAAAGATTAGGTTTGAAATTTGAACCACGACATATCATGTCAGACTTTGAAATATCTTTATTTAAAGCCGTAAAACAAAAGGTTTGCCTGCTTAAATTTATGATTAGCGTTAATTTCGAATATTTTTAGTTTCCCTCGGCACTACATCATGGTTGTTATTTTCACTTTTGTCAATCATTATTCAAACAAGTTCAGCTGCTTGGTCTATCGACATCATATCTTGAAGATGAAAATATTCGTTTATCATGTCGAAGTATGATGGCGCTCGCTCTTTTACCTGTCGAAGTCGTAGAAGAAGCTGTACAACTATTAGATTAGAAGATGAATCATTTGGACAAATGACAGATTTCTTCAAGTATTTTAAATATCAATGGTTAACACGAGTGCCACCAAAATATTGGAATGTATCAACTCTCGATTTTCGGACGAACAACTTATGTGAGGGTGAGTTCTGCTTTTTTGAAAGGTCGGCATCAGTTTTGTTTATCCTATAGGGTGGCACAATAAGTTCAATAATCGTGTTGATAAATTTCATCCAAATGTTTGGCGTCTGTTCGAGTGCTTACAACGTGAAGAATTATCATTTCGACAACAACTTGGAAAAATTAAATGTGCTATGCAGAAGAAATTAAACGAAAAAAGCTGCTTTACTCGAACAGAAGTGAAAATTCTCACAGAACGTTATAAACAAAAGAAAACTACTTTGTTGGATTTTACTCATGGACTATCTATACTGGTAGCTCGAAATTCTACAGTTGCTCATTAATTATGTTGTTCTAATTAATATTTTAATTTTCAAGGCAGCACGCTTAAATATCGACTGATTCTTCAGCAACCAACTTTTTCGAAAATTTAATAAAATATTACTTTTCATTTAAATAAATTAAAGAATTTTATTTATATACATCTAGGTTTTTATTCTCAACATTTTGCGAAAAATAAAATTATTCGCCGTAAAAATTTTCGCTTACGACGGTTTTCGCTCAAATGTTTTTCGCAGTATTAATTTTTCGCTATTATTTTTTCGCTAAAAAAACTTCGCTGAAAAGCCTTTCGCTGAAACGACACCATATCGAAATCGGGTAGTTGGGGCTAGCGAGATAAACGGTGGATAGGAATAGATGTATAGAAGGCATTCCTTCTATTAAATGTGGCTCGAGATTCATTTCATAAAAGTTTGGAATAAGGTGCGAAATTCGCTATTCGTTAACGGAAGCAGGGCTGGAACCGGTTGAAAAATTCTACCGGACCGGTCCGGCCGGTTTCTATCCTATGTTCAACCGGTGAAATTCCGGCAAAAAACGGTGTTACTTGTAAAAAATATTTTTCATAAAAGATTATTTTCAAATGCGAAATAAGTTAGCACTGCAGAGAACGTAGTTTTTTTCTCATGCTCTTCTTTTCTAGGCTAAGATATATATCTTCAAATTTTATTATTAATTTACATTGCCGATAATTTGGGAGATACATTGTGATAAAAAATTTTTTTTATAAATATCAACCGGTGAATTTCCGGCTTTTACCGGCCCGGTTGATTTTTTCTACCGGTCCGGTCCTGTCTGAAACCGGTCCGGTCGGACCGGTTCCAGCGCTGAGCGGAAGACAAAATGCGTTGAGAAGAGAAAGTAATCTTTCTAGACATTTTGACTCTCTGTGGATTTGAAGTGCAGATACGTGGAATAGTTCGCAATGTGCATCTACGGGAGAATTTGAGCGCAATCCCACTTTCACGATTTGGAGCATATTGGAATGATTTTATGTTTGTGTGAAGTAGCATGTCCGTCTAACAACAATTCAATGAAACACCGTCAAGTGATATATTTACCATTTTTAGCTTTAGTACTTCCATTAAGTATACTCTATCAACTCGTAAATGAGGCACATCTAATAAAGTACAATGTTACGGAAAATAGTATGTATTGTTAAATTTGCCACAAACGCACGCTTGTACTCTGCCAACTGTGTGATTACCGCTCTCGCGTAGTGGAATCGCACTATCCTCAAAAAGAGCATATTCGCCCAAGTTCAGATAGTAAATCGTACTACAGCTCTCATGCGTATCATTCGAAATCCAGAAGAAACACACACTTCACCGCTAACAATCTTCAGCACAAAAAAGAACGAACGCATCGAACTCTAAAAAACAGAATAAAATCCTTTCTCAAGGCCAATTGAATCTTTAATGGCTAACTGACCGATCGCAATGGTATTCCTGCCGTCATATAGTCAGATCATAATTGAGGACACCAAAATATATGGAAACAAATTTCACCATCAACCAAGATCTAATGCTCCTCATAATCACTACAGGAATTACTTTCTACAGAATTCACCAGAATATGTTTCGCGACACTTTATTTTTCCGGACCTCCTGCTCAAATGTCTTCTACGAAACCCGCGACGGAAAAACATTGTGACAATTTCGTCAAGGCATCCGTAAAGTGAAATTCTAAGTAA